CTAAATGCTGTTAAGAAAACCCCAACATTTTATGATAGGGGCCAGCCCTGTGGCGCAGCGGTTAAGTGCGCATGCTCCGCTGCTGGCAGCCCCGGCTCGGATCCCGGGCGTGCACCGATGCACCGCTTGTCAAGCCATGCTGTGGCGGCATCCCATATAAAGTGGAGGAAGATAGGCACAGATGTTAGCCCAGGGCCAGTCTTCCTCAGCAAAAAGAGGAGGACTGGCATGGATGTTAGCTCAGGGCTGATCTTCCTCACCAAAAAAAAAAAAAAAAAAGAAAACCCCAACATTTTATTATAATAAAAATTAGTTTCTTAAAATGTAATCTACTCAATTGTCACTAACAACAGCAAAAACAAAATACCTTTTAAAACTGAACAAAGACATAGTTATGTCTTACAGACCTTTGCAATACATTAACATAATTCAATCTTTGAAGACTGTTCATTCTTTTCATAAGAAAAGGACACATCTCAATGACATTAAATCTGATTCAGTAGCTTTCATTTAATTGAGCAGTAGTCAATTTTCCAAGTGGTTGGTTTGTGTCCCAACAAAGTCATTTGGGTATTGTATATGCCATTCCAATTCCCACTTCTTCTCCAATCATTATAACATACTCCCCATTCCAATTCCCACTTCTCTATTCATTAGAACATACCCTTCCAAATATGCCTTAAAACTTTTAATTTTCCATTATATTGATCACAAAACACTTTTGCTAGCAGCATCTTGGGGATACTTTGAGAAACACAAAAACAATACCACATTGCACCCATATTTTGAAGTGGCTTGGGGGAGCTAACTTTGTTTCTGTTGTTAAATGCACTGGGGGAAGACAAAAGGAAGGAAGGAAAAGAGGAAGAGAGAGAGAAAAGGAGGGTGGGAGGGAGGAAAGAAAGAAACTTAAAAGTTCTCTGAATCCAATTCAGGGAAATGTGGGTGGTACCACATATACGGAATAAAAATTTAAGGATTTTTCTCTGTTCTATACCTACTTAAAATTAATTTTAATTTTTTAAGCAAATTTGCCTTTCTGTTATATGTTAACTTGAGAAAATATGACTTCAAATGTTCAAAATAAAGGGTAAAGGAAATTAAAAATTTGTTTTCTTAGGACACAGAATGAACTATTCTTTCAAATTGCTATTCATAAAAAAAAATTTTATCTCTTTCAGAAACACTGGAATGACATAATCTTACACAATTTTGATCAACCAAGTAGAGAAGCATTCAGAAACACTCATTTTTATTTTACTGTATACCAAAATATTGAGTAAATGCTCAAATTTCTTAAATATGAAACATAATAAATAGAATTTAGCCATCTCCTCTACAAAGTGCTGTGCTACTCTTCCTGGTGGATAAAAGAGACAATAAAACTGTCATTTTCCTTGCTGGAAAAAAACATTTTCTATGGTATTAAAAAAACAACAACAACAAAAAAACAAACTCTTTGGCGCCATCTTTTGGATTATCCACATTTTCTTCACAAAATTCTTTCCTATATTATAAGAAACAATTTATTGATCAGAATCAAGACAGAGACAGAGATAATTACTATCTGTACACTTTATCTTAAGCCATATTTGCCTTATCTTATTCTCATACTTACATATTAGGATTAAGTCCTAACTTTGATCAAAGTCCTCTCCACGTCTCATTATTTCTGCAAGGCCTGGCAATCATTTGTTTACTAAAAATTTGCTTTTCCATCTCCATGTGAATTGCCTACCTCCCCTTTGAAATCCCAAACCATTACCCTCAACGTGCTCCTTTGCCTTTAGCTGAAGATGGTATTTAAGGAGGTGGCTTCAGCCATTTTGGCGAGTTACTCATTTTGTTTGATTTTCTCCTGTTATTCTGTCTCATGTCAATTTAATTCTTAGACCAGTCAGAAGAACCTAGAAGGACAGAGGAATACTTCTTCCTCCCCTACACCATCTAATATAATTGAACTTATTTCCTAATAACTAGCAATTAAAGTATAAAAGTCAAATTTGGAGTACAGACTGAATGCACTGAGTCAATGAAGGAAGAAATCACATCTAATCATAGTAGTATTTAAGATTGCCAAAAAATAGAGTAGAACTTCAGTCTTTAAGGATGAATTAGATATAGAGTATATATGGGGCATGTAGGTGGGCAGACCTGAAGGGAGAAAAGACACAGGTTTTTTAGGAGAGGTTGACAATATGTAATATAAGAGAACCTTTCTCACTGAGGGGTTCCTCATCTGAACCACAGATCACTGCAAATGACTTAACTATTTTTTCAATTTTCCCAAAAATGTACATAACTGGTATCATTCCAGAAGCAAAGGACAGAAATAGAAGAAATGTTAATGCATTACAAACAATGGATGCTTTAGGCCATTGGTTCTCACACTTAACACGACTCGGAATGACTTGGAGGGCCCGTTAAAACACACACTGCTGGGTCCCATCCCTAGAGTTTGACTTTGGGGTAGGGCCCAAGAATGTGTATTTCTAACAAATTCCCAAGTGCTGCTGATACTGCTGGTACAGGGATAACACCTTGAAAATCAGTGCCTTAGGGCACTAAGACTCAATTCTCTGGTGGTATTCTGGGTAAGAAAGGCTAATATAAAGTACATTTTCATTTTCATTTTGAAAGTCATTCATACTCTTTAAAGTATACAGAAAACAGAGACCAGCGGGAAGAAGCAGCGTCGCCCTTACTCCCTCTATTCAAGACAACATTATCTTGGTTTGTTCTACTGCAGTCTTCTCTTTAGAAATAAATGGAGTATTCTTGGCTGTAATATATATAGGAATGTGCGGAAACACTGTATCAACCTATACATGTCATGGAGACCAAAATGCATGGCCAATTCATCCAAATGTGGTATGCTAGAGCAATAAGTATTCTTCTCAGGCTCCTACGGAAAGATGAAAGTTCTGCTCACTGATAACAACAAAGGGCAGTTCATCAATCCTTTCATATCAAAACTAGTCTTGTGTTATTAGAGTGATCTCTTGGTCAACTAGACCAAATATTTATTGAAATATTTTCAACAATGGTATGTCAGCAATATATTTTCCAAGCCCTTTCATTTCTGAGAACATCTTTCTTTTACATTTATACTAAATGACAACTTGGTTGGGTAGAAAACTCTTGAGTCTTAACTACTTTATTTCACAACTTCCTCAATCCATTGACTTCTGGCACTTAGTATAACAAAGTCTGAAACCAGAATGACTTACGTTCCTTTGTACATAACCTGTAGTCACTAACCACCCTTCATCCGCACCTTGGAACATTTGAGCAATTGTTTGTTTTTTTTTCCTTAAAGACTGTAATTAAAAAAAAACTTAACGTGAGCTTTTATCTAGGAATGCTGATCTCTTCATCAATTTTATCTGGAATGCTGTGTTTCCTTTAATTATACATACATCAGGTTTGAGAGTTTTTTGTTTTTAATTAAATAAAAGAAAGTCATCTTTAATTATATCTGACCATCATTTCTGTTCCAAGTGTTTGATTTACTTTCCATGGAATATTTATCATTCCTTTGCTGGGTTCCCAGTATCTGTCTTTCACATTCATTACCTCAAAATGTTCGTTCTCATTTTTAGCCTTGTCTTTTTTTGGTGATAACTTCCCAGGTTTGTCCTCCACAGATAAATTTCATTATCTGTAATATTAAATTCAACTCCTTCTAATCTATTGCCTTCAAAGTGGAATGTCAGTTCTGCTACTGCACTTTGGTGTCCAGGCATCCTTCCTTATGTTACCTATTCCCCTTTTCAACTTGTTGCCCTTTCAGCTGAGCTGGTTGTCTCCTTATGGGCTGTCTTTCCTATTTTACTGGGGCCATATCTTTTTACATGTTATTAAGTATGCCCAATGCTTTTTGTTTTCATTTTCCTCCTGGTTCTTTTCACAGTCACAGGGAAGCGCTTCCTTCAATGCTTCAGATTATTCTCCTTCCCTTTGTTCTGCAGTATTTTTTTCAGGGAGCTCTTGTTTTCCCCATGTTCACACTTTCTCGACAAAGAAAGCACAATCAACTCATGCTTAGTTCCTGCCAACAAGCAAAGAGGTATAGATTGCCCTTGATCCTATTTTCTGACCATAGCTGTTACTGGAATCCCCTCCCAAAATGATATACAAGACCTAAGCAATTCCCAGTGCCCAAGAGGCTTCATCTAGTGCAGTTCTACCAGAAAAAGAAGGGACTTATATTCTCAATGACTAAATCTCTGAAACACTGAACAGGTGGAATTTTTGAAATTCCATGCTTTGGCCTCCTACTACCTACATCCTACCTTTTCCTGCACTGAAGACCTATTCTGACCTCTCACTTCTTTAAAGGCTTGTCTTTATTATAAGTCAGTGCCATACGACTTACCACTTTTTCTATAATTATTTCATTTTTTTCTCCAACTCCCTATCAAGTTATTCAAGGCCGATGACATTTAAGACTTCTTTGTAACAGCACAGACGTAAAATAAATATTTGTCAACTGACAGAAATGTAGTTTCAGAGAACTTCATAAAGTATCCAAACACTTTCACTAAGGTGACATTTTGCGCAAGAGATACGCTTTAGGCAGCCACATTCCCTCTATGCAGGGTCTAAAAATACTCAACGTTCCAGTTTCTTTTTCTGGGGCTGTTGGAAGCAATCAGTTTACTTATAAGTAAAAAAAAAAAAAAAAAAAAACGGCTCTACGTTAAAAAAAAAAAAAAGATTCAATCAGTTCTGTTGGTTTAAAAAAGCTTGCTAACTCAAGAAGCTAAAATAGCATATAACATAATTAAGAACATATTCTTTTGGGTGGAGATAGTCTAATGAAAGTGTTATAAGAAAACACTATATCCCAAACCTGCAAGGCTCCAAAACCCAAACATGACTTTGTTTCACTGAGTTCTACTGTATTACACTTATCCCCTCACTTCCGTTTAATAGTTATTAACTTATTTTTAATACAACTCACATTATCAACAATGAGAGTAAAACAGCCTACTTACCCCACCCATTGTAATTCCATGAATAAGTGCAACATATGGTTTCTGACAAGAATCTAAAAGAAATAGAGCTATAATTAGTTGCAATGTTTAAAATACACTCACTTTTCCCAAAAATCACATTACATGAATTTTGAGTATTTTCCCCAGTAAATTTTTGCAAGAAATACCAAAACTAAATGTATGGCTTATAAAATATGTTCTTTTTTAAATGTCAATCCATACACAATCCCGATCACCTATTCATTATCAGTTAACAACTTAACACTCCAATTTGAAATGAATGAAAGTCTTGTATAACTCAGCTATTGAGAAATACAACTAACATTTGCTTTATAAGCCACTGATGTTTATGTACACAGCTGTATTTTAAAGAACATAATTTGTTTTCTATATATCTAAAGAAGTATCTGAATACAAAGCGAAGTGCAGCATACAGGAAGAAGCATGGACGGGGAATCAGAAGACCCAGATTCTAGCCTCAGCTTTGTCATTAACTGGCAACTCAACTTTATTCAATAATGTATACTGGCGTTAAATATTTATATATACTGGTAATTCAATATATATACTGGCATTAGATATATAGATATTTATGTGTGTGTTATATGTGTACGTATACATATATGTATATCTGTTATATGTATGTCACACGTGTCTATCATACGTTATACAGATAAGTTTCCTCATCTATTAAATGACCAGACTTAATATATAACCTCAGAAGTCCTTTCCAGCTCAAAAATTTTTGTAAACTTTTACTCTGTTCCTTTCCCGTTCTTGTTTTTCCTCTAAGCGGGGCAATTGCCCACAACACAAAACCATAAATCACTGAGCTTCTGTTACAGCTTGTTGCCACTATTACTTGCTTAGGGTAGACCAATATAAAACTGCAGTTTTGATCCATCTAGCAATTCTGTAAATATTCCCAATTTGCCAAATGAGCCACCAAAGCACAACTCTAATTTCACATTCACAAGGATTTCCATAGCCCTCAATTCTGAACTATAATTCCCTAGAAACTATGGAAAGTTCTCTATTGACTGGGATGGAGATACATACATACACACACACACACACCATTCCAGCTATAAATACATATATTTCAGACATAAAATAGAAGCTAATAATGCAGAACATAAATCTTTCAAATTCCTTACTGACTAAAATATGACATTACAACGTACAGAAATTATACGTTGAAGACTTTCTCTCTGTATGTTAACATTTTACCAAAGTCTCTTTTCAAACTGCTTAGAGGTTTTTTCCCACCTCCCTTTATCTAGTATAGAACTGCACTAATATAGTAGCCAAATGTAACTATTTAGATGAAAATTAACTCAAATAAAATTTAAAATTCAGTTTCTTGAACACACTAGCCCCATTTCAAGGGCTCATTAGCCACATGTGGCTAACGGCTCTTATACTGAACAGTAGACATACAGAATATTTTCATCATTGCAGAAAATCCTATTGGACAGTGCTGATACAAATTTTCAGAATAAAGAAAACAGTCTATGTAAATTTCATATGTAGAATTCTAGACCTAAAGAAGTGAAAGATACCCATTCAATTTGGCTTAATGAGCTAAAGTGGGAAACAGCCTCTTTTCCCCACTCCTACTTCAAAGACAGAAATTCTGGAAAATTTTTTTTTTCTTTTTTTTTTTTTTTTGTGAGGAAGATTAGCCCTGAGCTAACAACTGTTGCCAATCCTCTTCTTTTTTTGCTGAGGAAGCTTGGCCTTGGCCTAACATCCATGCCCATCCTCCTCTAGTTTATATGGGATGCCGCCACAGCATGATTTGACAAGTGGTGTATAGGTCCGCACCCGGGATGCGAACCTGCAAACCCCAGGGTGCTGAAGCGGAGGGTGCAAACTTAACCACTATGCCACTGGGCCAGCCCCCCCAATTTTTTTTAATGTACATCCAAGTTCAAAGCCAAACAAGGGAAATCTCCAGGTGCCAGAAACAAATAAGAAACTCCAAGTCAATAGCTGAATGGAAGCTACAGCCAAAGATTATGAGTGAGTTTGTGTATCTTTTTCAGTCATGAACAACAACAAAAAAGCCATGCATATCTTATGCAATGAGCTATCTACATAAAGCCTCATGTTAGCAAGAGCTATTCAATTTGTAAAACATGACTAGAAAACTCCACCTGCTGATCCAGGAACTCAATAAGGTCCTGCCCAGGAGAGGAGAGAAAAAGCCAGAGAAAAGTAGATGCTCAAGCACTAGACACCAACCACCACCACTACCACTAAACAAACAAAACAAAACATGCCTAACAAACTCGGAACAGAAGTAATGTCCATAATTTGGTAAAAAGGGTCTACAAAAAGATTATGCTAAAGAACAAAATTTTAAAAGCTTTCCCATGGATATCAGAAATAAGACAACACTACATTCAACATTATAATAGAGGTCCTAGGCAAAATATAACAAAAAAGTCATAAATATTTAAGGATTGGAAAGAGATGGAAAAAATTATGTGCAGATGGTAGAATTGCCTATGTAGAAAAGCCAAGAGAATCTTCAGAAATATCATTAAACTTAATAAATCTCAGCAGGGTTGCTGGATATAAGAACAAAATATTAAAATCAAAAGCATTTGGGGAGGTGGGAGAAATGGGGGAATTGGTTTTTGGTTTTGTTAAATATCTTTAAAAAAAAAAAGCACTGACCTAATATTAGTGCTACATTAATATGCAGGTGTATTTTCCCAGTTTTGTCCTGATGACAGTAATTATTTCAGAACCTTGCTAATTCTCACTTCCTTATCAGTCTTTCCAATAATTCTCACAGGAAAAATGGTAGTTTTGTCCTTCTTTTCAACAGAGATTTAGAAGCCAAGAACTAAAGTGAATTCTCACCTGACAAAGAGTTTATTCCATTTTTCAAGATATACTGCAGGATGTTTATTAGTAGATTATGAAGTATTTATTGCCAGTAATTAAAACTAAACTGTTCCTTTTTTTTTTTTTTCCCTCAGTGAGGAGATCAGCCCTGTGCTAACATCTGCCAATCCTCCTCTTTATTTGCTGAGGAAGACTGGCCCTGGGCTAACATCCATGCCCATCTTCCTCCACTTTATATGGGACGCCGACACAGCACGGTTTGCCAAGCAGTGCATCGGTGCATGCCGGGATCCAAACCGGTGAACCCCGGGCCGCCGCAGTGGAGCACACGCACTTAACTGCTTGCGCCACCGGGCCGGCCCCTAAACTGTTCCTGTTTTAATAAATGCACAAAGTTATAGATACAATACTATTACTTTTTATTGTTTATCTGCTCTTCCTTTAATCTAAGATTTCCTTTACTGATGTGCTAAGGCATTTACCTTAAGGCTGATACAAAACAAACCAGTTTGTTTTTTTTTACTAAGAAGACTAGGGGAAAGCATTGGAAGTCACTATAAAAAGATTCTTAAGGGGGCCAGCCTGGTGGCACAAGCAGTTAAGTGCGCGTGCTCCACTGCGGCGGCCCGGGGTTCGCTGGTTTGGAACCCGGGCGCACTGACACACTGCTTGTCAAGCCATGCTGTGGCGGCGTCCCATATAAAGTAGAGGAAGATGGACACAGATGTTACCTCAGGGCCAATCTTCCTCAGAAAAAAGAAAAGGAAGATTGGCACCAGATGTTAGCTCAGGGCTGATCTTCCTCACACACACAAAAAAGATCCCTAAGGCAACACTGCAAAGACCCAGGAATGTTTGTGTACTGCTGGTAGAAATAAGTGTAAACCGACTTTTAAAAGATAAGAAGGTAATCTGCAAAACGGAGAGCCTTAAAAATAGTCATACTCTTGACCCTAAAAATTTCACTTACAATTTTTATCCTAAAGAACTAATTATGAATGTACATGATGTGATAGCTACAAGACTGTCCAAACACGGGGGATTGGTTTTAAAAACTGTGCAGGGGCCAGCCCAGTGGCATAGTGGTTAAGTTCATGTGTTCTGCTTTGGCAGCCTGGGTTCACGGGTTCTGATCCTGGGCACGGACCTACACACCGCTCATCAAGCAATGCTGTGGAGATGTCCCACATAACAAAATAGAGGAAGACTGGCACAGATGTTAGCTTAGGGACAATCTTCCTCAAGCAAAAAGAGGAAGATCAGCAATAGATGTTAGCTCAAGGTCAATCTTCCTCACCCCC